AAAATATACTACATCTACCCAAAGAACCTTGTTGACAATTCTTTGGAGGCTTTAGTTATTTAGGGGTCTCCACTACCCAAAATAACCTGTTGAGTCTCTTCTTTCCACTAACTACATCTCCCCCAAAGACATTGCAGTGGATACTCTCATTGAATAACACTGACAGAAGCCATGTTTTCCTTGTGACAGTTGCATTTTTTTCCTACAAACTCATAATTCCACAACATTTTTAAATAAATGGTACTTTACATTCTGCACTACTTAGCATTTTGTTTACCTGAGTACTTGATGTTTGCTTGATGACTTGATGACTCAAGTCAAGATCTAATATTGAAAACTAGGAAATTAAATTGTGATGTACAGGCTTATTGAGCCTGTTGATATATTTCATATTTTTGTAGTTTTTCTGTGACTTAATGTGATTTCTTCCTCTCCCCTCTTAGCATATAACCTTTAATTATCCTCAGCTCTGGCAGTGGGTGTTAATATCTACATCACAGTATATAGTACCACATAAAGATACTTTAATTGTTGTTTCGTTTTGTGTTTTAACAAACTAGCACAAGTACCAGAAGCAGTATTGTGTGTTACTGTACAATTTCACCTGGGTTAATTTTTCCTGCTTCTCAGGGTATACTGCTCCAACTACCCAAGCTACTTGGTGTGTATATCTATGCAGCACTGCATAGGGTGGTATAGACATTCTCCATGAGAGGTTTACCTTTTTGAGCTTTTTAAAAAGGTAATCAAGGGTTCCCTTCTATTTTCACACATTTTTAGGCCACAGCAGACTGGCACCTTTCCTTTTGAACAATGACATTTAAAACCACTTGTATAGATATCACAACTGCACACCATTAAAAGCAACTTTATCCTTTATTCTTCATGGTTGTGACTTGAACTCTTATTGTCATTCAGCATTGTGACAAAGTTTATAACAGCTTTTTACCTAAAAGCAAATATGGGGAACCTAAACTATCCAGACATTTGCTGGGAAGAGCAGTCAGCCAGGTCTGGCCACTCATGTAGGTTCCTAGCTGTGTTACAGGACCCCCATCTAACCCAGGAGGTGCACAGTCCCACCAGGGGAAATGCCTTGTTAGATCTGGTCCTGGCCACAAGCGACAACCTGGTGAGGGGACTGCGGGTGCTCGATCACCTAGGTGATAGCGATCATCGCCTATGAGATTCACCATCCACCGCAGGGTGGCAAAGGCCTGCAGCAAGGCAGCAGCGCGGGACTGCAGGAGGGCGGATTTCATTGAGCTAAGGAGACTAGTCAGGGAGGCACTGAGGTCCCAGAGGGGTGGGGAGTTGGGAGTCCAAGAAGAGTGGTCGTTCCTGAAGGAGACGAACCTCCAAGCCCAAGGGTGGCAATCCCAACATGGATAAAAGGGGCCAAGAGTGCTCAAAAGCCCCCATGGCTCAGCAAAAGCATCCAGGAACGTCTTAAAGCTAAGAAGGTCGCATACACCTAAAGGAAGGGAGGGAGCCATCACCAGGGAGGACTATACCTCTGTTGCTCGGGATTGTAGAGGGACTGTTAGGAAGGCCAAGGTGGAGATGGAACTGGGACTAGCAACCTGGATCAAGGATAACAAGAAACCCTTTTTTTTAAATACATAGTGGGGTAAACAGAAGGTTCCGGGTAACATGGGTCCTCTTCAGGACACGCTTGGAAATCTGGTGGTCTCGCCAGACGACAAAGCCAACTTATTTAACAATTTATTTTCCTCCATTTTTCTGAGCAGGGACCAGGTCATCCCCGCCACCGGGATCCCCGATGGTCCCAAGGGAGGCGCAGCCAGGCCCAGGGTCAGTGAGGACCTAGTCAGGGAACTTCTGGTGGGACTGGACGTGTTCAAATCAGCAGGTCCTGACGATCTCCACCCCAGAGTGCTGAGGGAATTAGCAGAGGTCATTGCAGGACTCCTGGCACAGCTTTACGAGCAGTTATGGTGCTCTGGAGAGGTGCTGGAGGACTGGAAATGGGCCAATGTGGTCCCCATTTTCATAAAAGGGAGGAAGGAGGACCCAGGAAATTATAGACCTGTTAGTCTAACCTCGATCCTGGGGAAGCTCTTTGAGAAAATTATCCAGGTGCACATCTGCAAGGGGCAAGCAGGGGAGTGTGTGCTTAAGGGCAACCAACATGGGTTCATTAGAGGCAGGTCCTGTCAGACCAACCTGGTGGCCTTCTATGACTGGGTCATAAAATTCTTGGACACAGGTGTCATGGTGGACGTAGTCTTCCTGGACTTTAGGAAGGCCTTTGACACTGCCTGTCACCCCATTCTCTTAAAAAAATTAAGAGATTGTGGTGTCAATGCCTACACAGTCAGATGGGTCGCTAATTGGGTCGCGCCCAGAGAGTTGTGGTGGACGGGTCATTTTCACCCTGGAGGGATATGGGCAGCGGGGTCCCCCAGGGCTTGGTCCTCGAGCCTGCACTGTTCAGCATCTTCATCAGCAACTTGGACGAGGGGGTGAAAAGCACCTTGTTCAAATTCACAGATGACACTAAGATGTGGGGAGAAGTGGGCATGCTAGAAGGGAGGGGCAGGCTGCAATTGGATCTGGACAGGTTACAGGGGTGGGCAGATGAGAACAGGATGGGGTTCAATACTGACCAGTGCAAGATATTGCACCTGGGGAGGAAGAACTAGCAGCATACCTACAGGCTGGGGAACTCCCTTCTCGTCAGCACAGAGGCAGAAAAGGATCTTGGAATCATTATAGACTCCAAGATGAATATGGGCCGCCAATGTGGGGACGCAGTCAGGAAGGCTAATTGCACCTTGTCATGCATCCACAGATGCATCACAAGCAGGTCCAAGGAGGTGATCCTTCCCTTCTATATAACATTGGTCAAGCTGCAGTTGGAGTACTGCGTCCAGTTCTGGGCGCCGCACTTCAGGAGGGATGTGGCCAGCATAGAGAGGGTCCAGAGGAGGGCCACTCGCATGATCAGGGGGCAGCAGGGCAGGCCCTAGGAGGAGAGTCTATGAGACCTGAACCTGTTCAGCCTCCACAAGAGGGCTGAGAGGGGATCTGGTGGCCATCTGTAAACTTGCCATGGGGAACCAGCAGACAATGGGAGAGTCCCTGTTCCCCTGAGCACTACTGGGAGTAACAAGTAATAACAGCCATAAGTTGACTGAGAGTAGATTCAGGCTAGATATCAGGAGGCACTACTTCACAGTCAGGGCAGCTAGGATCTGGAACCAACTTCCAAGGGAAGTGGTGCTCGCTCCTACTCTGGGGGTCGTCAAAAGGAGGCTAGACAGTCACTTAGCCGGGGTTGTTTGACCCCAGCATTCTTTCCTGCCATGGCAGGGGGTCAGACTTGATGATCCCTTCCAACCCTACCAACTATGAAACTATAGCAGGTTCCTTGAATGAATGAGTAAACAATACTGTAAAGTGAGACACATTCTTCCTTTGTGTTGGAGCATAACATCTAAATGCTTCATCCATCAGTTATTTTTTCCAGCCGGAAGGAGAGGAACTCCTCACCTCAGCAAAGTTTTGTGTCAGGCTTGTTCATGTGATTTTGGTTCCATTAAAATATTTGAGATGTATGCTGGTGAAAATGGTGTGGCAGTGTCCCTTTGTCATGGAAATGACTGTATTCAGAATATTCCAGATTTTTTTCCAACATGACCCCTCCTCATTTCAGGAGAAAAAAGGAAATTTACTGCAAACATTTCCACATTCTTTTAATCATTTTGATACAGTCCTTCTATTGTTTGGATGAGTAGAAGCTCATAAATACATTAATGTGCATCAAATCTTGTTCTCACAACATAGAAGTCTATAGAATCTTTTATTTCATGTCTGCTTGAGTTGAGGAATATTATTTTACTGTTTTAGCTTTATGAACCCTTCTCAAGCTAAATATAACAGCTATTAAGTAAGTGCTTTGAGTTGCTGTGCACCACCTGCTGGCAAATTTAATTTAACAACTAAATCTCTTTGCAATGTTCCAAACTCTACAAAAGAACAAGGATGCTAATGATATTTTTTATATCCTAATTGCTACCTCTGAAGACAAAATAGATGGAAATACTCTTTTATCAATATGAGAATGATATTGTCTCTGAATATCAAAGATATCAAACTTATAATTAATGAGACAGACATGGTCCAGTACATAGTGCATCAGGCATATTTAGATTCTCTACAAGTCTGTATTTTTAAACTTTAAAATATATATTGAAGAGGAATGGGGGAAGAGAGAAGAAAGCTGGATAGAGGAGGAGAAGGAAAAATGGCAGTTCTAAATGTTAGCAGGCTTTCTCACTGCATCAGAAATGCAGGAATAAGGTACCGAACAAATGATAAATAATTAAAGGACTAGTTGTTATGTAAAGGCCATATTCTACCCTTTTTCTTTGTGCAAACCTCTCAGGTACCCTAGTGAGTATTAAATATCAGTGGGAGAATACAGTATATGGTGCTGGCCTACAGAGCCTCATTAAAATGGAATTCTCTCTGTTCCACAGAATGAAACCCAGCTATGTATTATGAAGATATTATACTGCAGATTGAGAATAGAGTGCAACAATATTTCACAGTTTTTTCCTTCCCTAGCGACTAGGTGATTTTCAAGCGAGTTGTTCTGTAAAGCTCTTAATGGAATTGATAGTCATGTATCCCCAATTAAATTGCCTTGTCTTTCCAATAAAGGATCACATACAATAATCACAAGAACATAAAAAGTGCCCTACTGGATCAGATCAGTGGTCTATCTAGCCCAGTATCCTATCTCTGACAGTGGCAGAGTGGATGTAATAGAGGAAAAGCAGTGAACCAGATATCTCTACAATGATCTATTCCTTATTCAGTGCCCTCCCTGGCATCCCGCTCATGATTTGCTCAACATAATATTAAGATGAACAGTACAGCACACTGTACATGTAAATAAATTTAACCTTCATCATAGATGTATTTAGCAACATGTGTGAGTTGACGTGTCACAAGCAGCTATTTCTCAACAGGTGTTACAAAAGTTGATTATGGAGACATATCATCACGACTTGGGCTAAGACGCAAACTTCAGTGCAAGCCTTTTTCTTGGTACCTAGAGAATGTTTATCCTGATTCCCAAATTCCACGCCATTATTTCTCTTTGGGAGAGGTAAGAATTTTAAATTACATCATTTTAGTCGTCTTCTGTTTAATGTATACAAAATAAGTTGCGTCTCAAATGCTCAAGTGCAGATATCTGACAACTAGCACCTTTGTTCTGTCAAGTAGTGTGTTTGACCCTTGAGTGGAACAAAGTGCATGGTACATAATGGAACATTACTAGGCTGTTAACCCATATGTCTAAGTTTTTTGACCTATATCCTCAAATGGGCTTGGGTATGGCAGGAACAAGCACCTTATCATAGAAAATTGGGGATGGAAGGGACCTCGGGAGATCTAGTCCACCCCCTGGCTCAAATCAGGAGCATCCCCAACTAGATCATTCCAGCCAGAGCTTTGTTGAGCTAGGCTTTAAAAACCTCCAAGGATGGAGATTTCACCACCTCTCCAGGTAACCCATTCCAGTGCTTCACCACCCTCCTAGTGAGACTTCTTAGTATCCAACCTAAACTTCCCTTGCTGCAGCTTGAGACCATTGCTTCTTGTTCTGTCATCTGCCACCACTGAGAACAGTCTAGCTCCATCCTCTTTAACTACCTGAAGGGTGGTTACAAAGGGTGCTGTCAAATCCCCACCCCAGTCTTCTCTTCTGAAGACTAAATAAGCCCAGGTCCCTCAGCCTCTCCTCATAAGTTATGTGCCCCAGCCCCCTACTCATTTTGTTGCTCTTCTCTGGACTCTCTCCAACTTGTCTGCATCTTTTTTTTTTTTTGGAAGAGGGCAGGGGGGCTGCAAAACTGGACACAATATTCCAGATGCAGAATAGAGGGGAATGATTACTTTCCTCAATCTGCTGGTAGTGCTTCTACTAATGCACTGCTAGTATGCTGTTATCCTTCTTGGCAACAAGGGCACACTGCTTAGTATCCACCATAACCCCCAAGTCTTTCTGTAGAGCTGCTGCTTAGCCACTTGGTCCCAAGCCTGTAGTAGTGCATAGGAACAAAACTGGCCTCAGGGGCACTCCATTTGAGATTTGGCTGTCAACTAGACCTCGAGCTATTGATCACTACCCGTTGAACCCAACAATCCAACCAACTTCGTCCACCTTACATTCCATTCATCCAACCCATACTTCCTTAACTTGCTTGCATCAATGCTGTGGGAGACCATATCAAAAGTTCTGCTAAAGTCAGGGGATGTTTTGTCCACTGATTTCCCTGCATCCACAGAGCCAGTCATCTCATCATAGAAGGCAGTCAGGTTGGTCAGGCATGACTTGCCCTTGGTGAAGCCATGCTAATTGTTCCTGATCACTTTCTCCTCTCCCAAGTGCTTACAAAAATGGATTCCTTGAGGATCTGCTCCATGTTTTTTTCCAGAGACTGAGGTGAGGCTGACTGGTCTGTAGGTCCCTGGATCCTCCTTCCCTTTCTTAAAGATGGTTAGTATATTTGCCCTTTTCCAATCATCCAGGACATCCACAGATTGCCACGAGTTTTCAAAGATGATGGCCAGCGGCCCTGCAGTCACATCAGCCAACTCCTTCAGCACCCTTTGATACATTGCATCTGGCCCTGTGGACTTTTACATGTCCAGCTTTTCTAAATAGTCCCTAACCTGTTCTTTTACCACTGAGGGCTGCTTACCTTCTCCCCAAACTGTGGTGCCCGGTGCAGTAGTCTGGGTGCTGACCTTGCTTATGAAGACCAAGGTAAAAAAGGCATTGAGTACTTAGTCTTTTCCTCCTCATCGGTCACTAGGTTGCCTCCCCCATTCAGTAAGGGACCCACACTTTTCCTGACCTTCCTCCTGTTGCAAATATACTTGTAGAAACCCTTCATGTTACCCTTCACATCCCTTGCTGGCTGCAACTTCAATTGCCCTTTGGCATTCCAGATTTCATCCCTGCATACCCAAGCAATATTCTTCCCTAATCATCTGTGCAAACTTCCACTTCTTGTAAGCTTCCTTTTTGTGTTTAAGCTCACTGAAGAGTTCTCTGCAAAGCCAAGCTGGCTGCCTGCCATATTTTCTATTCTTCCTGCACTTCAATTTCTAGGCTCTCAGCTCCAAGAACAAGGTTCATAAAATCAAGATCCCTCCTACAATAAACAGGGTATGCGCTGAAGATGAGATTCACAACTGAGTGGAAAGATGCCTAAGCCAGCCAGTGGGTATCCTGAAGAAAGTTATGCATAACTTAAAACAAATTATGCCTATCCTTGCCTTGCTTGCAGGCTTTGGTATATCCTCACAGCCTGAAGTTAATTGCACATGTGAGACTTGGATACTCAGCATGAATATACATTTCTTCATTTAAACATTTGAATTGCCTCTTTAGTTACAGGGAGTTGCTGGCACCAGTAGGGCTGATGTCTGCTTTTTATGTAATACCTACTTAAATCGCGGTTTTGCGGATTTTGGGGAAACTGCAGAATCCCAGAGTGTCCGCAAAATCAACAACAGCAACAAAAATTAAATAAAAATAAAATGTTAGCTCCCCAGTGAGAGCTAGCATTCTTTGCTGCCAGAAGGGGAACGTGGTGGGATGGCACAAAGGACAGCAGAGAAGGTGGCAGCTGCCCCCAGGGTCTCTTCACAGTCAGTGCTGAGAGGCAGAGTTGCTTGAAGAGCAGCCCAGTGATTGAGATGGTGGCTGCCCCCTCGTCTCTCCTCCTCCCCGGGGCCTCTTTGCCAGTCAACGCCAAGGGGTGGAGCCTCCATGAAATGACCGCAGAATAAGAACTTTACACTAAAATTAACCTGCAAAAATTGGTAAATCTGTTGCTTGATTTAGGTAGACACCTGATAATAGCCTAGTCATTAGAACATTTGCTCAGAATGTGAGGAACCTGGGTTCTAGATATTCCTGAGTTTTGAAGAGGTTCAGATTCGTATCTCTTATCCTCAAGGTGAGTACCCTAATCACCAGCCTTAGAGACAAGGCACCTATTCCCCACCATTTTATTGAAGGAAAGTGACCAAGGCTATTGTGCTGAATGCTGAGCCTACCTATAGCACTGTGCATGCCTATTGAAATGGGCCCTTCTGGGGATGCCTGGCATGAGACTCTCTCCTATGTCTTAGATGACAGAGAGACATGGAGAGGCTTAGCTCAGCTCAGCTAATATGGCAGCTAAGATGGACGCGTGTCTCTTCCCTCCCCTCCCCCCCACCCTTCCTTCCCCCACTGCAGTGCTTAGGTGACAAATTTAAGATGACAAATTTAAAATTCTCTGCATATAACATCTGATTACTGGGCTGGGTGCCTGAAATTAAAAGTAGTCTTGGATTCAGATAAATATGGTATTTGTACTTAAACATGCACAGGAATACAAGAATTATTTTATCAGAGCAGGCCAGTGCTTAGTCTAATTCAGTGTCTTGCTTGTGTCCAGTCCTGGTGGCATCGAAGAAGTTGCACAAAACCTTTGAATGCATAATTAAGAAGTATCTTGATATTTTTTCCGTAAGCAATTTAAAATTCTTTAGTAATCTCTATAAATAAGTAGTGGTTTTGTGCTTTGAAGCATAAATTTTAAATTCTTTAAAAAGAATCCTTATCCTATATAATATAAACATACATGTATTTTATGTGCACATCTAATCTTCCCCTCATGACCAGAGGCAGAGAAATAGGGATGTCTAAATCTGTGCGTTTCTTATGTTATACAACATGGAGGCTGCTTGCAGACGTGGGGGAAAAAAACCACACTTTAAAGTCAGCATGCTCCCATGTTGAGCACAGCACAGGCCCAGAAGAAGCAGCATGTTAGTTGCACCCAGCTTTCCAAGCATCTGTAGAGACAGGGTGGTTTTGTGGGGCCTTTTTTTTTTTGTGCTTTTATGTAATAGGTGATTGAATCAGCTTTAGCTAAAAGTGCCAGAAAGCCCCACTGAAGCACCCAGTCTATACATACACTGCAGAGCTGGGTCAAAGTAATGCACTGCTGCTTCCAGTAGAGCAGTTTTTCTTTTCTTTTTTTCCCCACATCTGTCAGATCCTACAATGTCTAGTTTTTCAAAGGCTTACAAATTGTTCATTTGCTGTCATGTGCTTCTGAAGAGATGCACTGTAAAGCCAGAGTATGCTGATAAAGTGTGAGCTCTGAAAAACAGTATGCTTCAAGACACAGGGGTGTTAACAAGGTGGACATGCAGACTGTGAGTTCCTGTTTCTGCGAAGAAGTAAGAGACCAAGGGTTTGTACCCAGAAGGTGCAGCAGTGAGGCCAAGGAAGATCTAGTGCTTGGGAAACCAAACTACAGAAACGTAATGAGCAGTTTAGGAGCACCTGCCCCCTGCACCTCAAAGATATGAGAGTCTCTAGCTTTGGTAACCTGTCTCTGATTCCATCTCCGACAGCTTCAGTGGCACATTATGAAAAAAGATGTAGCATATATGAGAATCCAGTTAGACTACATGTATTACTAGAGAAGCTTGGCATCTGACATTCTTGCTACATTGTCAGTGAACTTCACTTGTCATTGTTTGTTATTTTATGTGAATTAAGTCTTTTTGGCATGAGTTATGGTGACTCATCTTTAATTACATATAGACATTAGCATTCTTAAAAGGAAACTATTCTGAGAGTTCTCAACAAAAATCTATTAATTGATTGCAGATCAGCATTTCATTTCCCCCCCACTGTGGTCTCAATACTGTTGACTGAACAGCTATATAGACTTTCTAAAAATGGGCACCTGATACAGTTTGAACCCAAGTGAGACATTTCAGTCTGAAAAGGGCACGCTTAGGAAATTCTGTCTTAAACTGAGCTATGTTTTTCTTCCTCAGCACTGGAAAATCTGCTGGCAATATGTTTTTCTGTTTTTGCTTTTCAATCATTTCTTGTACATTTGAAGTACATTCTGCAGTTCATATTAGTAAAGACAAAATTTGACATCAATATTCTGCTTAACTAAAGAAAGCAACTGGAGTATGACTGTTTACATATTATTGTTATTGTTGTTAGTTTGCAAACTACCTGGGGGTATACATGGCTGCAGCAAACAACTGTGCAGGACTGCTGAGGTGCTTCATGTGTTTGCTGCAGTTTTTACTTCAAAGAGCATCGCTTCTGTAATCAGCTACATAGATGGAGGAGCAGTGCTCTTTTGAAGTAAAAGCCATAGTACACAGCTATGTGGCTTGTCTTCAATTTGACACCTGCTGTGAACCACCCAGATATGATATATTCAGTGGTGTCAAAAACATGGCCTGCAGGCTACATTCAGTCACAGGAGCCCTGTTGTCTGGCCCACAGTGCTGCCCCTGAGTCCAGAGTTGACTTGCACTCTGCACGTGTTGTGCACCAGACCAGCCATGCACATAAGAACCTGGATACATGCTGTACATGGCGCCCACTCGAGTTTGGTCCAGGGTAAGCACTGTGCAGCCTGAGTCTCAGAACAGCTAGAGCAAGTACTGCATGTATTGGATCCGGGATGTAGGATAGGAGGTGGGAAGCCTGTAGGCCCCGGCCAGGCCATGGGACTGGCCCTGCACCATTCATTTGGACCATAGGGCCAGGTGAGTCTGACTTTCCTAATGTAGGTCCTGCTGTATAAATCAGCTCACAGTGATAACCCTGAGTCCACTTTTTCTGCAGAAATCACCTTTTTAATGTGTTATATCTCTTTCTTTAGATAAGAAATGTGGAGACAAATCAATGCCTGGATAACATGGCAAGAAAGGAAAATGAAAAAGTTGGAATTTTTAACTGTCATGGAATGGGTGGCAATCAGGTAATAAACTATCTTAACTAAAAGTCTTGCATCATTACGCATATGATATATACTTAATTTCCAGCTAATCATACCAATAGTACACCACTAAACAGAGAAGTGGTCATAGTTAGCACTGGATTTATGACCCAGATACCTTGCTCCAGGCGGGACCCAAACCCTCAGACCAACCTTAACCATATCCTTGCTGGGCTGCAGGCTTCACAATCTGTGCTAGCTTTGCCTTTTGCAAATCAATCTCGCACTCGCTTACTGTCTCTCAGCTGTTGTCCTTCTGCATCGTGGTTACGTTTACCACAGCAAGCCCTGTTTTTACATCACACAATTGTTCAGGAAAGCTTCTAGTCCTAAAAACAACTTTCAAACCATGCATCTGCAAAAAAGAAAAAAAATCAGGCACCTCTGATAAGACCCATTTTTTTCCTTCTGGTTCAGGCTGTCTCCTCCTGCTCAGAATAACTCCTCAGCACTGACTCTGTTTACACAGCTGAACTCTTGTTTTTGTAAACACCTTCCTGCCTTAACAAGCTGCTAACACTTTTCCTTCTAGGATCTTTATACTTTTTTTTGGAGGGAGGTGGGGGGGAAGCAAAGACATTCCTCACCCCCATTACCAACACACGAATTCTCTACTAGTGCCGTGCATAACCAAATGCATGTTAGCACAACAAACCAAAGCAGGATAAAAGAATGAGCAAGTGTCCATTAACATGTCTTGTTTCTCCCCGTGCCCCCTCCTAGCTTTCTAAAATAAGCCACCTCCAAAATCAAATTTCTGTGGCACTATTTAGTCTCAGGGGCACACAGGATCACAAGGTATCTGTTTCACATCCCCATCCCTGATCTCCAGGTGGAGCTCTGTACCCTTCCTGTTCTTCCCTCAAGTGTCTCTGAGCTCCCTGAAGCTGCATTGCCTGCATAACATTCAGGCTTGCCAATAACTTGCACCTGTAACTTCCACTTACTATCTCCACAGCAAACGCACACTGTTCCTGTAACCAGTGCCACACACACATATGTTAACAATCTCTGCAAAGCAGCACTATCCTGTAACCACTTACAAATGCATGAGTCGCAAGGACTCTTCCCCTGCTGAGTCGCACACTCTCTCCAGCAGAGAGATTAACTTTATCTGCTTCTAGGTTCCTATAATACCAGGTATAGGAGGTTATGTTTTAATCCAAGCAGACCACAGCATGTACCCTTGTCCAAACTACGAACCTCAGGCACACTCTGAGAGCAGGTTGCAACCCTGTCTTTCTCAAAATTGCTGCTCCTGCCTCCATCACACCTGTACCCTACTGTGCCTGACCCAGACAGATAATGTCCCCTTGGTCAGCAGTGCAATCAACCAACTTCTTGCACAAAAAACTCTAATACAACATGGTTACTTAGTTTATAACCCTATTTGGAACTACCATACAGTTTTACCTTACCAGCAGATCTCCACCCATGACTCCATAGTCTTAGTCCACTACAAGTCTTGGCTGAAGCCTGCCAACAAATTCCCTGATCAATCAGATTACTGCCCTCAGGTTCCAGTCCCAGGGTTCCAGTCACCAATTGTTGGCACTGAACCTGATCCCAGTCCCTGAGTCAGAATCGCCCATCCCAGCGGATTCACCAGTTGTTGGCACTGGATTTATGACCCAGATACCTTGTTCTGGGCGAACCCAAACTCTCAGACCAACTATGACCTTTCCATTCAATAATAAGCAAATTTTATTGATACATGATGATAGTGGGTAAGAACAATACAAGCAATTCTATATCTACCGGTCCCAGGGCTGTCATCGGAGTCAAGGTACATCTGGCCAGGATGTGAGCTTAACTCTGAGGTTCTGTCTTGAATATCAGATGTCAGTAGCCTGGAGGTCCACATTCACTCCTGTCAGCATATGCCTTTGCTTCACAAGCCCATCACATGCACACATTCTAATTTGGACTTCCCAGTCTTCTCTTAATTTGATCTGTTCCCCAAAACCAGAAAGCCCAAGGGCTCTCAGTTGGTCACTGTGATCTGGTGCCACCTTATCTCATGTTATGGAACAGTGTGCTACATGCCTACAATTTCCCAGCCTGTATGTCTGTTCCTGTCTGCTTTGAAGGCTGTGAAACTGACAGCCAGGCTTTTAGAAATCAGTTAACACTTGCCATTGCCCTGGACCATTGTCATAATGCATATCTATTTTATCTATAAGCAAATTCCCCAAAGCAAACCTCTAAATACCATTACCATATGCATTTTGAAGCATTTCAAGTGTTATATCTGTCTACCCTATCTTCCAGCATGCATGAGTGGCTGCTATGGCCTCACCAGCATGCCCCTGGATTTGGTACATGTGAGAAGGAACAGGTGGGTGAGGTATGTTTAAAAACATCCCATCCAGAGTGTACTGCAGTGGCTGCATCTACATGAGACACCTGACTGAACAGTTGTTACTACGCAGTCATTTAATACTTGCATACACAAGTATTAAATGACTGCACAATAACAGGAGTTACTGCGCAGTAGTGTCACCAAATTACTTTTAGGTGACACTGACTGCACGGTAGCTCATTACTACTGCGCAGTAGCTTTGCATCATCCTTCGTGCCATACAATGGTTCTGTACAGTAGTAATGGGCTACTGTGAAGCTAGTGTCTCTCGTAGACACAGCCAGTGTGAACATTAACTTTTTTGTTCCCTGTGGTTTGCTGTAGCATGGGCCTACAAATGCTTTCTGATTCCTTCTTTCTGAATGTGGCAGTTCAGACCTAAATGTGCTGTTGGCTTTTTTTTTTTGCTTTTTTTTTCCTTTTCCCAATGCTCAACTCAGGAATTTTTGTACCTGTCTCTCACTGATTTTATTATTTTATTTGAAAATATAATCACACATCAGCTCTTGCTAGTTTACATTTTCAATTTAGAGGCTCGTTTCATTACAGTAAGGTCTATCTTCAGTTTGAAAAATTCGTTTAGTCTGAATAACTTGTGTATTTCTTCATATGGCTTTATACTTGCCTCTGAAGAACAAGTGAAAATAAATAAACATTTCCTTAAGGTTCACTATAACTATTTATTAAGTGATATGCTAATTTTTTTGTTCTTTCTGTGGAACCCATTATTTAACATTATTATTTTTCTATTAAGGTTTTCTCATATACAGCCAACAAAGAAATTCGAACAGATGATTTATGTTTGGATGTCTCCAAACTTAATGGTCCAGTAACAATGCTCAAGTGCCACCATCTAAAAGGCAATCAGCTTTGGGAATATGATCCAGTGGTAAGCCTTCTAATGATTTTCAACCAGGAAATAATTCAATGAAATTTCATACATTAACACGAGAACTACCGTTTACTGGGTCAGACCGTAGGTCCATCTTGCCCAGTATCCTGTGGCACACAGTGCCAGAAATACATTACACCAGCAATAAACTGAAGCAGTGTTTTTGTTAGTAGGGTCTCTTGGTCAAAACGGTGAAACATAAGTTGGAGGTTTTTCTTGTATGGCATGCAAAGCCACTCCATTGGACCCAGCAGTATAGGGAAGTTGGGGCCCTGCTGGACATTGCCCTTGGTTAGCCCTCTGCCAACACAGCCCCATTCACCACACTAGCGAGCAACTTGTTGCTTGCCACTTCCCTATATCCCATGCTCCATCTGTTGCTGCCCTGTGCAGCAGGCCAGCTCGAGCCCATGGCATGGGGTGAATTTAACACCCCCGCTGTTAGTGAAAGCTATATTCCTGTATGTAATTGGTTTACTCTGTAATCTTGGGAAGTGGGAAGTCACTTTAATATGGCAATGAATAATTCTAATTCTACTTACTTCAAAAGAGCAAGACTGTTTGGAAAATGCTTCTTCTCATGGATGCTGTTTTAAGTTAGTGCAAGACTAGAAACTGAAAATTATGCTGGCCCATATACTGGAGCCTTCTGTTCAATCTGGACTGGTCAAAAAAATCTTAAAGATCCTATCACAGCTTCAAGACCTAAGAACTTGCCTCTGTCACAGTTAATTATAAGTTGTTTTTCTATTATTGGAAAGCTAATTATTAGAAAGGGTAACAAAAAACCTGGATTTCAAGCTCAGCCACATTGTAAGATATTCAACTTCAAAAAAATATCATATTTTCTTTCTGTTACTGAAAATCAAATTGAGCTGCTGAAGCTAGAAACCAAACACTGGTTTGCATCATTTGAAAACTTAAAAAATTATGTGGTCAATAAGTAGTGGGGTAAGTGGAGTTTTCAGGGGTCATGTATAATGTGACCTGTGGGGCATTGAATTAAAAAAAAAACTTGCACGGGAGACTGAAATTTAAAAATATTAAAAGGTTTTTCAGTCTCACCAGCCTGAAGGCTAAGAAGTGAGCATTGAGGACCAGGGTTGGATCCAGAGGAGATGTGTTGTAGGAGCAGCAGCCAGGAACTCTCTTCTCTCCCCCCCCCAGTCCCTGAAGCTGGTGGGATTCCACCCCTCTTGGCAGCTTCTCCCTTTCTTCTCCATGTTCAGTTGCTCCTCCTCCTCTCCCCTGCCTGCTGCTGTCCACTGCTGACTGGAGGGTAGAGGGGGACCCCCAAAACTGTTCCTGCCAGGCTGCACAGGGCCCTGGGCTCTGTGGGGGACAGGAGCAGCAAGGGCAGGCAGGTTCCCTGTCCCTCCCCAGTCTCCCTAGGTGTTCCACACCAGCCTGAGAGCAGCTGAAGGAGGAGCCACCCACCACTGCTGCTGTTTCTGGCCAAGCCTAGCTCCCCATGCAACCAATCCCTACGGTCCCAGCTGGAATGGGGAAGGGGTGGCCAGGACAGCAGCAGTTTTGCAAGTCTCTCTTTCTTGCACTTGGAGACATAAGTAGAGGAGGCAAGGAGGATAGAAGAGGTGTTGCTGAGTACGTAGGGGAAGTTGGGGGAATTCTTACATGATTTGGGAACTTAAAAGGAGAAAGTCTCAGCTGTTGTTTCCACAGCATGGTTTGCCCACTTAGAATTTGGAGGGATGTTGGGAATGGGAGTGTAGCCACCCCTGTAGCACTAGTTGCTAGTCATGCACACCCCCTTTTCAGAATTCTGTCTTTGCACCCCTGAAATGGTTTTGTAGTACCCTGGTTGAGAACCACTGTGTTAGACTGTTGGGTTTCTTTTCTGAATCGTGACCAGTCAATGAAAAATAGCCTCTTTTGTCAGCCAACTTGTGGGCTAGGAGGATAAAAGAGATCCCAGACCTCGTGCAAGGTGCTGTCTGTCTTTTACAAGGACAGTGTCACTCTCATGTCACTCTCATGTATCACTAACTTCCACATCAGTTAGTCAGTTTCCACTCCTGTTTCTTTTTTTAAAACCTTGTTCCCTGGGTGAATTGAAACTTTTTACCTGCTGGATGTTTTGGAGCAATCTTTTTTTGTTTTTTCCCCTGCTACCCCCCCCACCTTTTTTTTGGCTAGTAACCAGTCTTTGAAAGCTATGTTGAATGGCATTTGCCAAGAGAGTAAAAAAGACAGTCTGTATCATTTTGAGGATTACGTGGTTTTCAAGATCAGGATTTACTATACTTTTTTCTAAAAATTAATCACCTGGATAGAATAGGGTTCCAGTGGCTTCTGCTTCTTGCTGTGGTAGCATTCCCATATCAGAGGTATGTTGAACAGCAACTTAAACTTCAATCCAAAGCTTTACCAGTAGTCATTCTTTGGCATTCTTTTATTGAAAGCCTTACATCCCTTTATTGTGCTGTAAAATTAAGGCATTTTACAAAGCAATGGAATTTGGAAACTACGTATTTTATTGCATATTATATGCTAGAGATTTAATATACACATCAATGTTTTTGAAAGGCAGAATGAAGAATATAAGATCTTTTCTTGTAGTAAGTAACTGAGTTAGCAGCAGCTAGGGAGCTAAGCCTGTTCATTTGTTCTGCTCCTTGTGAATCACTGCAGATTTTACTTTGTTTCACTCATAAGCAGCAGAACATGCTTTTATGCTATTTCTTGCATATGATGCACACTTCAATTTACAGCAGGTGTTTTTTGGGGAAGATGTTTGTGTTGTATTGCAAGTGTTCATCTTTAAAAATTTTCATTCCTTTCTGATTTTAATTAGGGAAACTGGTCAAAAGTGATGGCCAATAACCTACTGTGCAAACCAGTTCCCCAGAGACTGCAGTCTTTTCCCATTATGCTTCCAGTGTATCCAGTGCTAAGTGTTCCACATAATTAGGCACTTGATTATAGACCAGATCAGTTACAGATGTAGTTCAAAGGTAAGTATTTGTAGCTTAGTTGAGTTATCTTGATCACAGGATTGTTTTCTGCCCCTGTAATTTTTTCATGGCTGGATACATCATAAGTGTGATGCATTTTAGCAGGTAGATCAAAGTATCTCGGGCATCTTGACTCAGTCAGATTGATTGATCAGGTTTTGTTAAATCCTTTAAAAATCTAACTGCACTAATGAAATAACTGTTTCTTATTGTGCAACTGAGATTGAAACAGGCCCTAGTATTCTATTGGTATTTTCTTCAGGTTATTTAAAAACATGTTTACCTTATTTATTTATGCTCTTAGTAATTACCATCTTCCTCTCAATTACTGCTATTTACCACTGCTTAAACTAGAGAGTATTTTTGACACTGACAGTTGATAGAGCAAATAAAAGGATTTCTTTTCTAAACAAGGAAACGAGTTTTTCAAATGTACCTTCACCTGCCTTCCCATTTCACACCCTGTGATAACATTGGCAGAGATCAAGAATAGGAAAGAAGGTGAAACTTGTTTCTGTGTTGTTTTGAAATATGGTCCACAGTGCAGTCAATACTGTCATGGACTGGCCTCTTGCACATACAGTAAGAAAAGTGAATACTTGTTCCTTCCTATATTTGTTTGGCCAGATAAGCTGTATCCTCGCATGCAGGCACATGCGGTTTGTGGTGTCACAAACCGCACACATTGCACATTAAATTGTGTACAGTGCTGCTAATTTGTAGTGAGGGGACAAAATTTTGCTACAAAAAAAACCTGGAAAAAAATGTGGCACAAAGTATGCAAAAATAGCGTGTGTCAGGACAAATGCAGACAGAGGAGCAGATAGCCCCGGGCAGCCTGCTCCCCCATTGTGTGATGCAGAGTCCCTTTGTTAAGAGTGCAGAGTGCCTTAAGATGGGGGAACAGGCTGCACTGGGCTGGATGTTCCCCCCCCCCCACCCCCATCTCCACATGCTGCTCCCCAGCTGGCTGGGGTGTAGTGTGCTTTAGCTCAGGGGCTGCCTGCTGGCTAGCACCACATTGAGGCACCCTGTGCCCCAGCCAGCCCCCGCCCCTGAAGCATGTGGAGTCTGGCCGGGGGCTGCGAGGACCTGGACTTGGGCAGTTTGCCCATAGTGGGACAGCATGTCCTACAGTAAAGCACACATGCAGGGGCACGCACTGCAACAGATTGTAGTGGCACAAATGTGTACCACTACTATTTGTGCCTCTACAGGTACATGCCCCTGCTTGTCTGGATACGGCCATAGTGTCTTTGGACCTCTAAGAAGAATAAATGGCTGCAAGTCAGTATTAACGATGAGCCTTTCTAAGTAATCCTAGAACATTTAGTGTGAAATTTTCCCTAGGTCCATATTTTCATTGCCTAATTCTAGATTTTCTGAAGCATGCATACAACAGGGAAAGTGAGGCATGAACATTTGCTGTTTTGGAGATCTGTCTAAGCTGGTTTAAAAAAAATTAGAACAGGAGATGAGCCAAGGTAAAAAGGCAACCCACTCCAAAGACTTCTACATTTTGTGGAAGAAGTTAGAAAGGGAGGTACTTGCATAAAGTGCAGTAAAATTGTGGCCATTTAATGACTCTTTAATCCAGTTTTTGGTTTTCTCTCGTCTGAGCTGTTGTTCAAGACCTTGAGCCTTCACTCCCACCTTTTATGAGGAGAGGAAGTTAACAGTTGTGCTCTATGGAACTCTCATCAGCAAATTGAATTTTCACAAAAATGGCAAGGAGCACAGAAAAGGATTGCCTACTTCTGCCTAACTTGACGGTCTAGAATGAGAATTATGGTTAAGAGCACTCCAATCAGTCACAGCATGCCTAAGAATTCATGTGACATAATTGGCTTTCAACTAGATTGCAAATATAGCCAACTCCAGCTTATTTTTTATTGCTCAGTGTGTAGAATTAATAGTAATACTCTCCTATTAATATTCTTGTTCTTGGAAGAAGAAATTGTAGAGGTGTTTACCATTTCTGGTGGAAGGATCAGTGTTTTGACAAGTTATCTAAGAAATAAA